GAGTACAAACAAATCTCAGCCTAGTATTTATTTGAAAGAGATTCAAAACAAACTGGTGGCCGATCGAGTCTTCACAGGGAAGAATGTTCCCAGCATTACGACCATACATCGTGGTATAATGCAGCAATTAGATATGACACAAAAAAAAATTACCAGTGTTGCTGCAGAGTCCACAACAGAGAGAAACCAGGAGTGGACGCTTGACTTTATGGAAGCTATTACAAATTACGATGTTAGACAACTGCACTGGTTTGACGAATCGTCAGTAATCCGTACAACTGGGAACCGTATCTACGGGCACGCTGAAAGAGGGCAACCTGCAGTCCAAGTTCAAAGACATGCCAGTAATGCCAACTATACTATCAACTTACTAACGAGTGCGTCGGGTATTGGCCATGCTGATATTATTACTGGGCCTTCCAACAGTTTAGAAATGTTGGATTTTTTTGATGACAAGAATCGTCGATGTATTTGGAAACCCCATTTTATCAGATGGAGATTGCGTTGTTCTCGACATTTGTGGGTTTCACCACGAACATTTTGTAGAGCCAGCACTAAGAGATTTACTACGTAGACAGGAAGTTGAACTCATTTTTCAGCCTCCATACGGTCCACAGTTTAATGTTTGTGAATTCTGCTTCCGCTATATAAAAAATTGCCTGAGAGGAAATGTTGAGTATTCTTATCGATCTACTGAACTTGCTGTTGCCGAGGCAATTAGGAAAATTGGTCCTGGTGCCTGTCGTCAATTTGCTGCAAAGTGTGGTTATATATAAATAAGACGTGAATCTGAAATGCATATAAAACGTAATTTGTTGATATTATTTAATAACTCAAATAGGGTAAAAATTACATCCGGTTAACTTTTGTGAAAATGTGAAAACAAAACATCATAATTTTACTTTCACCACCTAACAATTTTTTCCCATTCTAAGTTTTATGTACTTTTTTTCAATTTTAATTCAGACCAAACCCAGACATGATGGTCTACTGATATTTCAGAAACAAAAATTGTTGTCAAATTTGAAAACAAAACCAAATTAAATATTGCCCTTTTGCTAATAATGATACATATATTTCTTGGAAAAATAGACGGATTTTGTTCTGACCTGGACTACCGATTTGTGTTTTAAAATCAGTTCTTTTGTTCTGGTTCGGCGGACAGAGCTGCCTCGGTTGCTGCGAGATTTAACAAACAAGCATTTGGATCAAAGTTATTAATGTTTTCTGTTTGTTGTGTACTTGGAACTTGTAATACAGTTGTCTGTACTGGCTGTGGCGGGAATTCTGGTATGTCAGGCTGCAAAATGGTAGATTCTTGAGTGGGTAGAGTTGCAGTAGTAGTAGTTACTTGCACATTTCAAGTAATTCTGCGGGTTCGGTGCAGCTGGGATTTGTAGCGGATGGAATGGTACTGCCCACGGAGAATTTACATTAAAACCACCTGTATACATCGACCATGGGTGAGGAGCCATCATCATGGGTTGAAAAGGTTGGGTCATGTATTGATTAACAGGACCTGTGTTTATATTATCATGCGCGGTGTTAGGTTCAGCTGAACTTTGTGCCGGAGTTTCAGGTTCGGGGGATGTTTTCCTAACTTTGCGAAAAACCTCCATTTCGTCCCTGCTGGAAGAGTCGTCTTCATGAGTATTTCTATAAATGCTAGTTTTCAATTTTGCTGCCTGCATAAGTTTAGAAAACTGCACAGCATCTTTCATATTTTGCCTCAGAATCTTACTATCCAAAGCAATTTTCAACAATCGAATATCCGTCAGTAATTTACCCTGTCCACGAGGGCCAATGTATTTCTCAGGATATATTTTTTTCAGTCTTGGCTTTACAACCCGTGCGAACTGTGTTTGATTTTTGTCGATGAATATTTTAATGTTATATAATTCAGCTTCTGTGTCTTTGATATTTTATGTCCTTTACTTTCTGTTGAAAGAAAAATATGACACCGTGATGATTGCAAACTGGTCTTATAAAACAACATCAAAATACGACTAATTCGAACAATTAATATACTCAAATATTCAGACAGTTATGTTGGTACCAGTATGTAAAGCATATGCATAATTGAAGACCAGAAATGTGTCCGATGTCAATATATAATAAAAATGTTTAAACTGACCTCTTTCACAAGTTCTGCGTGTTCTCTGTGTCTATCCAGTTTACCACAATACATGTAACCGGGGCATTTCTCGTAGCAGCATTCACGTTTACCCTTATTTCCACTTTCTTTATGGCCGGGGTGGTGACATAATCTGCACGTAGCGGAGATCGGTCGCAGACCGGGAAGCCCCAAAACAGCTAATGGCGCGGGAATAGATTTCAGATCAGCGAGATGTTCTATTTTTTCCTGTAGAATGTCGCGTCGAGTTTCAATCGTTGGCGAATCTTCAGGTTTAATTTTAATACTGGTGTCAGCACTGGTCTTTTTTTCCTCCACAGAAACATCAGTGTAACTAATTTGGTCCGGGTTCTAGTATCACCGCTCGTTGTCGATACAAACGTCTCAGCAGTGTTTTTTTTCTCAAGCATAGGTGGTGATCCATCGAGAATAAAAATCTTTGCTTTCACTGTAGAACCGGTTGTATTTAAACGTATGTTCTCTAGTACTAATTGTCTGAAGCGAACGTTTGGAGGCAAGTCCATGCGCTGACTGTCTTCGTCTACATTCTGTAATCTTAGTTCTGTCATTCGACGTAGAAAAGTCGTGTCACGGGTCAACCTGTTCGTAAAATCTTCGTAACTCATTTGATGGAAATCGTCTTCTCTAATAAATACAGGTACTCTTCTAGCTTCGGAGTAGTAAATAAACTCCACTTTAAACAGGTATTCTGCCATATTTTTAGATTGATACTGGCGAAACAAAATACGTCTTTTAGCACTTACCAGCCACGTGTTCTAGTCGTCTCTTTTTTTATTTGGTGTGGCGACAGTGAAGACCGCTGTCTGGTTTATAATATAAACAACTCTTTGATTTTACCGCAACTTTGATAATATCTTGAGCAACTTGTAAACATTTACTCGC